AAGCGGGGAGTACGGCAAGAGACAGGCTTCAGATAAGGTGAGTACGCACGCATACACCTGAAAGGCAGCACCACCTAATGTGGACCCGGTGCATTCATTGCTGTGTAGAGTAGATCAGTGGGAAAGCCCACGCATAGCATGAGAAAGGCCCGGCATTCTCAGTCCTCAAGACCCCCCTACACACACACACACACACACATACACACACACACACACACACACACACACACACACACACACACAAAGGACTGGTAGTTAAAGTGACCCTCACGTGGCCTTCTAGAATGGATAGTTTGCGTCTTATGGCACCTACTTAGCCAAGATTTGTGATGGGAAATTTCTGGAAGGATCAGAACCCTCAGTCTGCCAATACAGAGTGCTGCTAACTGCAGCGTTTTCTATGTAGCTCTCCACACCACAGGTATAAGTTTTCACAACCTATAGACAACTTAAGCCACCAAATCCAGCTCTGATGTTTAACCTCCATCCCAGGAGGCTTCACCCTACATCCAATGCATCTTAGTTTACAACTGAATCCCTTCTTCTCTTGCTGTGAACTCTAGAGACATAAATCCAGGGCATTCATCTATCCATTTTGAGTAAAGATAGCATTTGTTCTCTTCAAGTTAACTCAAGCACACATTCATATCTCAGCTATTCTTTCCTAATCCTTTAATTATCTTTGCTACACTTTGAATGCTCTCCAGGATTTTAATGTTTGAAGCTCTGACGCCCAATCCTCAATACAATACGCTGGTGCTGGCAGGTAGAGGCTATGGCAAATCGTTATGGTTACAGCCCCCGAGGCTTCCTATTCTAGTTTATGTTGTTATGGAACCCCCATCTCCCTCCTTCCCTCCCTCTCTGTCTCCCTCCCCACTCCTCACTTGCAATTTCATCCCTTCTAATCATTCATGAGGCAGTGAACTTCCTTCCTGGGAATTCACAAATTTAATCAACTACATGTCTCTTTATTTCCAGATTTTCATAGTATTGACCCAATGCTAGACAAACGGCAGCTGTCCAAATGTGTCCAAATACTATATTGACATCTGAAATCCAAAACCAAATTCTATTATTACCACTATGTCTCCATCCTCAAATGTGTTTACATTCTTGTGTTCTCTGTCCCCCCACCACTACACACCCAAGGTAGAAGTGTCAATCTTTGTTTAATTTCATCATCTCCCTTAGCAGTTATAACTAACTGCTTTCCAAGTGTTAGCGGGGTTTAACTCAGACACATCCTGTTCAGCTTCCCTCTGAGCTGGAGCACCACAGTAGCTTTAATCTCTTTCCTTCAGCCCACCACAACCCTCCTCTTTCTCTACATACATCTCTTATCATGCCAGTTTCTACCTTTAAGATAAAAATGCCATTGTATCCATTGCTCCATGTGTTTTTAAGACCCTGACATCACCTCCTTTCAACTGTGTGTCCTACTGTTTTTTCCCAACCAGATCTTTCACCAGGCATTGTCAATGGGACACTGTTGGTTAGTGGGCGTGGCGGCCTGAAACATGCTACAAGGTGCCATGAGAGACTGCCTGTGTCTACTGGGAAAGGGAGGTGAGGACAGCATCTATGTGACATTGGTTTTGCTGCCATCTTGCCACACTGATTTAATATCTACATCTCCTTGACTCTGCAAGTGCTTTGGTAGTTCATGACTCTATTTTCCATGAACTCGTTTTCTATTTTCAAGACTTGTTTTTCCTTCTTCATGGTCTGTTAACTTTTAAAAAGTTCAGACATTGCTATTTTGATAGGTGACAGACATCCTCCACCCCACAAAGCAGACCTAAGCTCTGTGCATGTATCAAATATGTATGAAAGATCAAAGGCTTCAAAGCAAAACGGTAGGATTTCAAGTGTCATAGACTATAACTCATTAATAATTATGCAGTGGGGAAGGACTGTGTAGCAAAGATTGAAAAATCTTGAAATTATAGTAGAAAACATAAGCTTAAATATCATGGAGTATTGTTTTTGTTCAGAAATTTTCTCTTCTTTTCTTTATAACTTACCGCATCCAGGAATGAACACAAGGTCCTGCATATACTAGGCAAGTCCTTAGCCCTGTAATTGATATTAATTAAGACATCTTCTGTACAGCAAAGGTGAATGGGCAAGTAAACAAATGAACAAAAACCTTCCACATATTATACGCAAATGTAGAAAAGAAAGGGAGAATTATTAGCAACTTACATTAAGAAACCGTGACTACTCTAAACTATGAAGAGCTTTTATAATCAGTCACCCACTACTCAAAGTGAACTGTACCTCAGTGTTCTTCGTTGGTTATATTTCCTTATTTAATGCTTTAAAATCTGACTCTATTTTGACCAGATGGAAAAATAATTTAGCTCCCACTTTTAAAAAGAAATGGACAAAGAAAATGAAAAGAGATAGTTCTCTTTAAAAACATAATTGTTCCTTAAGCATAACAAAAACTGTCACTCACAATAAAAGAGTTCCACTTAAGATATTACAAGATACCTTTTTAACCTGTTAAATCTAAAGAACATTCAAAGTATACCACAGAAGTTGTGTGTTGGGGGGGGAGGTCATATGTGTCTGGTGATTTATAAAATTATACAATGCTTATAGAAGGCAAATTAGCAATATCACTCAAAATTACAGTGCATATATTTAGGACTCAGCAATTCCCCTCCTGGAAAGTTATTGTACTGATACATTTTCAAATGTAGAAAATGTCCGAAGTGCAGGAGTATTCACGGTGATACTATTTGTAAAAGTGGAATATTGGAGTCACCTTAACCGATATATAATATCTAATATTTTATATAGATATATAATGCATAATAAAACAATATTGAAGCAGCTTTAGAAGCACATTTCCCCCCATTAAAAACAGAACACTTCCTAGTTACATGTGAAGAAATGTAGAATGACTAGTTAGGCAAGGGAACATGTTTGAGGGGTAGGAAGATGGTGCTTGGAATTAGTGGTACAGAGCTGCAGTCCCAACCACTCAGAAGGCCTTGGCAAAAGGATGCCAAGTTCAAGACACCCCAAGTTTACAAAGTGAGTTCCACATCAGCCTGGGCAGGTTGGTGAGATCTCACTTGAAGATAAAATGAAAAGGCTGCAGACACCACTGAGGAGAGCATTTGTTTAGACTACACAAGGCCCTGGGTTCAGTCCCCAGTACTGCCCAAAGACACACGCATATGCACACGTGTGCACACGCACACACACACACACACACACACACACATGCACGCACGCACGCACGCATGCACGCGCATGCACACGCACCCGAATGAGTTAAGTAAAATAAAAAAGAACAGAGTACTTAACACGCATTAGTTTTAACATGCTTAAAGTATACAAAACTGCTATAAGTTGTCACCTGTCTGGAGACCTAGATAGATGGAAGATTGATAGACGAAGGAGATTTTTTCAGTGAACAATTAATTTCTAACTTCTAATCGTTCCTTTTTTTTTCAGTACTAATGGCCAATGCAGTAAACCATTTTTAAACTCTATCACCGAGTTACTCCCCAAACCCTTACATTCTTTAAAATGTCACGCAAACAAATCACTACTGAAAAACTTAAAATCCATTTACTTCCATGTTCCCAGGGGTTATAACACACTGAATATAATGCTCAAGGTTTAGGGTCATTCATATGTTTTGAATTGTAGTGAGACACCTAGTTCTATTGAGAATTCCAAATGCCAAGTCCATATATACGGAGTCGGTAGGCGCTAGAGTTTGAAACTTCCCGTTTCAGTCATTGTAAAAGGAAACAACATAATTCACCATATGCTGATTAGCTTGGGGGCATGTCGGTTTTCTGTCATTAATGTTTCTTCTCCTTTCCTAGGTACTCTGAAACATCTTTCATCCTGAATTCTCTTGAATAGGCTCAGTCACACCACCCTTTGCCACAAAAAAACCTGCGTCACTTCCTGACAAGGGGTTTGTATAGATCCTCATTCTCCTGCCTCAGCACCACCCAGCTGCCCCTGCAGCCTCCACTGTTTCCTTAAAAAGCATCTTCTGACCTAGAAAAGTTCAGCTTCCTCCTGTCTCAGCGAAATCCTAGAGCTGCTTTGGCAGATCCTCTTGAATGGTTGCCTTCCTCTCCTCCTTAGACAAGGAAGCTGCTAAAAGCTGCCAGGGAAGGCATCTGGTTTTCTAGATCTCTCCAGGGCCCAACCTGCTTGGTCCAGGGAATCTATGTGTATGTTTTCATGGAATCTCTGTTGAATAAACAAATGCATACTCCGGGCATGGTGGGGGGCGATGAGTTGAAGCCACAGGAGAGGATAAAAGAGATGAGACAATCTCCACCTCAACCAGGGAGGGTGAGATAAATACACATAATTACAATGTGGCCATTGCCTAAGGGATTGTAAATTAAGTTGGATAGGAGTCACAGCAAGGTGGCTGCTGGAAGAATTTTTTTTCCTTTGAGATAAGATCTCAGGTAGGAGGCTGGTCTCCACTTGCCATGTGGCTGAGGATGACCTTATACTTCTGATCCTCCAGCTTCCGCCTTCTAAGGCCTGGGATTTCAAGCGTGTATCATCATGCCTGCTTAAACTCAGTGCTGGGTGTTGAACCCAGGGCTCTTGCATACTAGTCCAACACTCTACCAACTGAGCTACATCCTCAGCCCTAAGAGAATTTTAATATATATGTATATCTGGAAGAAAAGCAGTAATATTTCAAAATTGGTCTTGAAGACTGGTGTGACTCTCTCAAGGAGGATGAAGGAGAATTAATTCAGAATATCATAAGCCTATAGGGGCCAGACTAGGGATATGTGAAAATAAATGGACTGAATGGGGGGGGGCATTGATAAAAAGAGGTCTAGAGGTTTTTAAATCAGACTATGTCTGATTTGAGAGATTTTATCTTGCCCAGGACAGAACGTTCAGTGCCCAGTGCATCTGTCTGGCGTTTCCATAGGGAACACAACCCTGTGACTGTCAATGCTCTAATTCTTCCCATAACAGTATGGAGCTAAAACCGGCTGCAAACCCTCAAAACGTGGCCAGGACTTCCTACTCTGCTGGAGAAGGATTGATGAATGAGCAGAGTGTGTTGAGCTTAGATTGTCCTCAGGCAGGGGGAATGTGGATTGTTCTCGTATCTACTTAAAGAGTCTCTTTGAGCAGCTAAAGCAGCCTTAGTAACAAATACTCCAAGACAGAACTCAGTAAGTGGCACTACTCTCCTTTCAGTGGGTAGGGGTGGCTACGGCAATTCAACGCCACGATCTCCTTAAACCAAAACTCAAAGGAACATTGCGAATAAGGCTGAAAACCTCGCTCCAGATGCTCGAGTAAAGCTCATCTGTCTAAATTTATCAATGTAAAGTCACTGCAGTACAAACAAAAAAGAAAACTTTCTCCCTCATGATCTAGTTGGGGACATATTTGGTGTAAAGGAAACGGCTGAAGATATTCATGCACCAAATACTGATCAAGCCCCTCCTATGAACCAGACACTAATCCCGAGTCCCCTTCTGTGGTCAGGGACTTTATCTGTACCCCTAGCCAGCCAACTCCTGGAAATCAATGTTGTTACTCACAGAACGCATGATCTCAGGAGATAAAAATGTGGGTGACTCAGAGCAGTCCCTTCCAGTGCAAGAGACTACGAACAGATAAGCAGCCTTGTCTAGAGGTATCACGGACCACTGAAATTCAGCACACCGTGAAGGGAGAGACAGAACACATGGTATCTATACTGGTCTCTCTCGACGTTCAAGAGTTTAACAACAGCCACAAAATTTAAACAACTCTAGGACTCAGCTCACAAGGAATAAGAAACACCAACAAGTACTTTTACTTCTATCTAGAATCCTTTTAAAACCTGCGCGCACGTGCGCACGTGTGTGTGTGTGTGTGTGTGTGTGTGTGTGTGCTCATGTGTGTGCTCGCACGTGTGTGTGTGTGTGCGCGCGCGCGCGTGCATGCATGTGAGTGTGCGTGTGCGTGTGCGTGTGCGTGTGCGTGTGCGTGTGTGTGTGTGTGTGGTGCTGTGGAACTATTCAGGAGGTAGTATCCCTCATATATCCCAGTCCTGTTGGTCTTTATTAAGTTCAATTCTTATATTAGGTAATGTTTATACCTATCTCTGCTGAAATATATTCAGTCAGTACTGTAGATAACATAACTGACCAATTAGACAGAAAACAACATTCAAAAGCTTGAACCCATTCAATTTCGTTTCACTAAAATGCACATACCCATTTCTGAAGCATGTTGAGTATTTTTGTACATAATCTGGAAGAGCACAAATAAAATAACCCCAGAAAAGGGATTTCTGTACAAAGTTGGTTGGTAGTTTTTAAAAAGAAATTTGTAAGTTCTTCCAGAATTTTAAACACTAAAAATATATAACCACAGGGATCAGCCTTATTTGTCTGTCCTTCATGGTTTTATAAAGTATGCATTTACTTTGTTTTGACACACAGCTTACATTTGTTTTTCAGATGTGCTCAAACATAAGGAACAAGAGGAAAGAGAAACAATGAATACATTATAGGCAAGGCTCTCAGACACGGACAAATAAAGAAAGCAGCAATCTTCTTGGAGCTAAAAAGAAAAGGGGGTTTGCTGTGAGGAGAAAGAAAAGCATCCCTGAACGAGAAACATTTTCCCAGCTGTGAGCTCAGGAGGTGTGGGGTTGGGGAGGAGGAACAGAGGGTACCGGGTATCGGGGAGAGAACATGGTTTACAGACCTTACCATCAGAACCTCGATTCATAAAACAAAGCAATCCACGTAGGGGACCTGCTTAACTTCACCTGTTGGAGGTAAGTTCAGTCTCTTTCCCCTTCTTGGAATGAATGGGGAAGGCTCTCTGCGGAGCTCTGCCTCCCACCAAAGGAATGTGTGCTATCTGGAGTTGTTTGGAAACCCACAGTCTTAAAAGGAGCTGTATCAACAGGTTTTTCCTCGGGCAGAACACTGAGCCAATTGTAAATGTTGAATGAAAATCCTGAGCAAGTTAAATACTACCTTAGGAATTCAAAACCTGCTCCAGGTAGGGGTTTCCTTTTCTTTGTTTTGAAACAGAACCTCAGCTTACATCTTTATCACTTCTGTCTATTTGAGCACATGAGCCTCAACCAGACACAGGGGGCTGTTTCCTGGCAACATAAGGAGAGCACATTTTGAGGAACACGTGAAAGCTAGCTTGGAAGTTTTAGTTTGGACGAAACTGAGACTTTCCCCACATGGAGCTGTTGATGTGTCAAGAAAAGGAAGCACAGTAAAGCAAGCCCCTCTGAGGAACACACCCAGCCTCCCCCCTTTTGTGTCCATGTCTGTATTTGCCATTCTATGGCCACTTCCCTTCAACACAAATATTTGTCTTTCTCTCTCGAATTTTAGCTGTCCAGTTTCCATTCTGCTTTACAACAGGCTGTTTCTAGAGCACAGGTAAAGAGGCAAAGCAGCGTTACCCCTCAGCCCTTAACGTGTGGAGCAATCACCATTGCCTATGATCGGGGGGGGGGGGGGGGGTCAGCATCTCCTGTTCCCCCTTTCTCTGCACCTCACTGTCTGAAATAGGGTCTCCCCTTGAAATTGAAGTTCACCATTTCAGATAGACAGGCTGGACAACCAGCTCCAGGGCTCCTTCCAGGATCTGCTGGTCTCTTCCTCCCAGCACCAGGTTTACGGGCGTGTTACAGTATGCAGGCTTTGTATATGGATGCTGGGGATTTGAATTTGTGTCCTCGTCCTGAATAGCAAAGCATTTTATGCACTGAGCCTCCTTCCCAACCCATCCCCCGCCCCCTTTTAAAAAGTATTAACCATTATTGGTTTAAAAAAAAAAAAAAAAAGCAAAACTAATGTTCGGATTAGGCTTCCAGTATTTGTGAAACCATATCATGACACCTTTGATATTCTGTGATACCAAAGGACTTCTATTTATTTTGAAAGCTTCTTTCTGCTCAGAAAATAGGAAATAATCAGCATAGCGAAGATACAGGATGGAGAAAATCTTTGCCAACTTCTGTTATTTATTGAGATAGGATTTCACTAACACACATACACACACAGGCCTCAAATTTACAATCCTCCTGCCTCAGCCTGCCAGAGTTGTGAGTTACCACATCTGGCTTAGATGACTGATCTCTGAGGTTCTGTGACTTCCTTATAATTGACTATGAAGTCTCTCAAGCTTCACACAACATAAACTTAATTGAAAATAATTTTATTCTGATTCCAACACCTAGCAATGAATGGTGTTATGAGGAACATGTTCTTCCTCCACAACTAAGCAAGCAAGAATATAGTGAAGAATAAACCAACATTCCCCACATAAATACACAATAAAAAAGACCATTCTTAATTTTTATGATAGAAGACATTTAAGTGTCTACAATAAAAATTAACTGCTGAGCAAATAAGTTGCTAATTATCATTACTGATTATTTTAATTACTCTGTTTTCCAGATGATTTGCATTTTCAAATTGAAAACGGATAATCAATGCCTAGATACTTAATTTATTAATGTGGCAGTTCCTAGAGCTCAAAGAAGCATAACTCCATGTCTAAGGAATTTATCTATTTGAGGAAGAAAGAAAAATCACAAAAAAATGCCCAAGAATTTTAGAGGAAGTAAAAGAATGAATCAACACCGAAGAGTCGGAAAATGGTGCTCAGCCACCGTGAGGGCGTCTAGCTGTGTTCTGCTGCCTCCCTGGACTTCTGAGTCTCAGCCTCCTCATAAAGGTCTTAAAAATCAACGACCAAGTCAAACAAGCAAATAAATCCAAACAAAACAAAAGCCCTTAGGGAAAGTCCCCCAAATCAGCTTGCTGCCTGGCCCTTGCGTCTGGACGTGCGCTAGAGGCTGTGGTCTTCTGAGAAAGACAGACCGCAACTCTTCAGACTGCATTGGGAACGCAGCGAGGATTCTCACCGTCTGTTGTCCTGTAAACGCTACCCTTGGGCCACTAAACCTCAAGGCGGTCTCTTTATAAAACGGGAATTGTGAGTTTTAAGATTTTATACAGCATGTCTATGCACTGTCTCCCTCCATCTCCTTTCCATTCTGTCTTTATAATTTGGGGCAACAGTAAATTTGTATCTTCTTTTGTAGTCTGATGCCCAAGTAATACAACTAACCAATGTGGAGCCAGATGAAACTCCAGGTATCCAGGAAAGTACTAAGTGTGTGTAATCGGAGGCTAGCAGCAGTGGTCATCTCTGAGGAGGCTCACACAAGGCCCTTCAGTGAGGTTTATTGGAAGGTAAAGGGCCCCTAGGTCTTGCTCAGACCTTCAGGAGGGATGGAGAGCAGTGGCCAGGAACAGTACAATATGTGGAGATCTAAACATGATGGGTCCTCGAAGGGAAGGAGGGGCTTCCCTTTAAAGCACGGGGAGGGCGAAGGACACATTCAGAGAGCAATCCCTCCTGAGGAGTCTGGGACCAAGTCCTGGACAAAGGAAAGGGCAGACTTTTTAGAACCGTTTAGATGTGGCGGGAGGTTTGGCATGGTGCGGTTTAGTCCAGCGGAGAGTGTGTGGCAAGGGGCACGGAGGGGCCAGGTACCATAGATGGAGAGTTGTCAAGGCACAGTGCAGAGTGCTTCTGAACTGTTGCAGAGAGAGCTAGAGAGGGGTGTGGCCTGATTCAGGCTCTGGGATCTGACTTCAAGATGCAGGCCCAGGGTCCAACATGCAGGCAGATGGGGACCAAACTCAGGTTCATCTGACTGTCAAACCAGTTTCCTCACCCCTACAGTGGGAAAACACACAGGACATGGTGCTGTTCTCCTATGATTTCAGTCCTCCAGAAGCAGAGACAGGTAGATCTCTGGGAGTTGGGGGATAGCCTGGTCTACACAGGGAGTTCTAGGCTGGCCAAGGCTGCATAGCTTGTCCCAGTCTCAAAAACATGAAGCAAAAATAATAAACGTCAGAGACCAAAACTCAAAACAACAGCAATAGCAAAAGCAAAGCACTTATGCACACTGCTCAGAGCTAAACTGCTCTTTTATCTGATGAAGGGAAGGCAAATCTCCTCGAGGGCCAAGGCTGCTGACTTTTCTTTTTATGCGTGTGTGCTGGGAGCAATATTTCCAAAGAGGTAAGCATGAGATTAATGTTGATTGTAAAAATATGTGCACATGTAACAATTCCTGAAAGTTTATGTAAGCATCAAAGTCATTGTCATTGTTGTTTTCAATTCAAACATCTGTAGAAAGAAAGAAAATTTACTCACTTAGCAGGCCAGTGGTGGCACACACCTTTAATCCCAGCACTTGAGAGGCAGAGGCAGGCAGATCTCTGAGTTCGACGCCAGCCTGGTCTATAGAGTGAGTTCCAGGACAGTCAGGGATACACAGAGAAACCCTGTCTAGAAAAAACAAACAAACAAACCAACAAAAAAACCCACCACCACCACCAACAAAATAATGCAGTTAAAAAGTGAAGTTGGCTGTAGAGATGGCTCAGAGGTTAAGAACACACTGTTCTTGCAGAGGTCCTGAGTTCAATGCCCAGCAACCACATGGTGGCTCACAACCATCTGTAATGAGATTTGGCTCCCTCTTCTGGCTCGCAGGGATACATGCAAACAGAACACTGTATACATAATAAATAAATAAATCTTTGGGCCGGGCGGTGGTGGTGCACGCCTTTAATCCCAGCACTCGGGAGGCAGAGCCAGGCGGATCTCTGTGAGTTCGAGGCCAGCCTGGACTACCAAGTGAGTTCCAGGAAAGGCCCAAAGCTACACAGAGAAACCCTGTCTCGAACCCCCCCCCCCAAAAAAAAAGGTGAAGTCAGTAAAGTATGCTGTTAAAATACCAAATGATGAATGATTTTTTCTTTGAGACAGGGTTTCTCTGTGTAGTCCTGGCTGTCCTGGAACTCACTTTGTAGACCAGGCTGGCCTCGAAATCCCTAGCACTGTGATCAAAGGCATGTGCTACCACCGCCTGGCGATGAGTGACATTTTTAAAGTTAGATGTTGAATGCATTAGTTTTATGGCAACTTAGCTAATAGCCTGTTATTCTATAAACAACAAAGGGAAAGATGACTCAAACTATGGAATTTTCAGTCTGACAACTGACTCAAAATATGGGATCACTGAAAACAGAAACACAAGATATGCTTACACAGAATGAAGCCTACAGTTAGCATTGACTGTTAGTAAAAGTACACTCTGCTGACCTATTTATTGTATCATCAAATCCTGAAACAAAACAAAACAAAAAACCCTGGAACCCTTTCTCACTGAGCTGACTCTCACTTCATTTAGTTTTTCATGCCAAAGAGAAACCCTGAACAAGATTTAAAACGTCATACCTGATACTTAAAGAAAACCACTGGGATTCCACTTTATTTACGTTTAAATTAATGCATGGTTTGCTTCGCTGCTAAAAAAGACCAGGCCCAGGCCTTTCTTGCTGATGAGTCTTTGCAGTTCAAGTGATTCTGAATTCCAAGACAATGCCACTAGTCTCCTCTACCCTCTACCCTTTATAGTAATTGAGATTCTGCATTTGCCTGATGGAGATCATTCAGAATTTAAAGTTCTATCACAGAATAGACGTCTTCTTGCAGTAACAGAGGCTTTGGTTTTCAGAGAGGAGTGTCCAGATGTTCAAGTTTGTATTTCTGCATCAGAATTATCTGGAATGAATTGTTTGTGCTCTGAACCCATTTGGGGGTAAATCATCTAGTCGCCACTAACTACAAAATTCCCAGTTAGGTTCCCGGGTGAGGTTAGGGGAAGACAAACCACATTAGGATAGCTCTTAATATTTTGTCTTCCTTCCTTTTGTTGTGGTGGTTCTGACAACAGAGGAGTTCAGCTTGACAACGCCCACCTCTCCACTGTAAGTCTCCCCTGTTCGTCACCACCATTCCCACTGAAAGTTCACGCTTGTGCATTTCCTTTACCTTGGGCATCTTTCAAAGTAACGATTTCATCCCTGAAGGATTGTACACGTTGGCGTATTTCTGAAGGCCATCCTTTTCAATCATTTTAACGAACAGTATTCTACTGATTCCTGTATGCGATCCCTTGCCCACATTCTGGTTTATAAATCATACATTTTGCACACAGATGTCCTTCCTGTTCCTATTGTCTCAGTTTCTCCCAACACTAATTCTCATTTTGAGCATGTGTGTCTTTGTATGAACTGATTTTGTGTGAATGTCTTTTGTATGTGATTGGTAACTACTTCTATGTTAAAGTCATTAAGATTTTTCCTCTTGGTCCTCATCCTGTGGTGATGCCAGTACATTAACACACTCCAGGTTTGCTTGCTGCTACTCTAAGAGTATGAAAGTTCTGGGGTGTGTGAGGGGAGGAGCATTCTGTCATTTGCACAGATTCCTAGGACTAAATACACTGCTACCCAAAATCAAAAGAGTAAATTAACCAACTGCTTAACCCATGCCATATGGTTTGCTAAGCAATAATCCATGCAGCAAATGAAAAACAAGCAAAACTTACCCTTTAAAGACGGTTTCAACAGATGCTTTAGGCCCTTTGCCTCTGTTCCAGCTCACTCCAGCTCAGGCATCAGTTACAGATGTCTCTTGGATCTAGGGACTGGACAGACACAAATAGAAGACTAAGGCAACTCCCTCAACCTAAATTTGCACCGATTTAGACCAGCCAGTTGCCAGGGCTTTATGTAAGGTGTTTTTCTTGAGGGATGCTTAGGAACTTTACCCAGCCAGCAAACATCTTAGGGTCTCTTCTTTTTAAACCTTCAAGTTGTTCTTACTATTCTTTTTATGGTGAATAATTCTCTGGGCTTTATATCCGACTTCCATATTTAATGCATTTTAATTCAGTCTAGTAATGATCTCTATATTCATGCATCCATGAGCTCATCTTCCCCTCAGGACTTACACAGGTAGCAGGGACCAAGTTGGCATTCGTTATTACTTTCTGGCAATTACAAGTCTGACTTCATAAATACCTTTATTTCTGCACTTGCATCCAAAAGTTTCAGGGAGAGAGTGTGATTAAATAAATAAAACAAGGATTTCTGGGCTCATCCTTTTACAGTACCCTGCTTGTTGTAAACTAGAAATGCCTACGTTCTGGCTATCCCTCTTTTTTACATGGCCCTTCTCCAACTTTCCCCTTTTAAATGTGAATTATCCTTTTAAAATCTTGCAGGTTTTATATACTTTCCAACAGAGTGAGTTATGTTTTCACTTTGAACATAATCTGTTGCCTGATTCGTGCAGCTGGGTAAAAATAGGGTTTACATTTGAAAACAAAGGATTTGACCAGATATTAGTTTCTTCTTCTTTTTGAAAAGAAAGAAGAGAATTAACCCCCCAACAGACACTGGTGGAAGAGATTGTAAACACCTCTTTCAAGGCCATAGTCCATGGAGAATCTTTGGTAAATGATAATAAATACTGCCTTCTAACTGCAATGACTCAGATATAAGATATAACTCAAAGCAAAGGTAAAAAGATTTAAAGGAACATTTCTCAAAAATAAGACATTCAACTAGCAACAGGTGCACGTGAAAAGTGTTGTTTAGCCTTAATCTTCAGGGAACTGTAAATTAAAACCACAGACACTAAAAACTCAAACCATTTAGAAGGAATATTATCAAAAAGATGAGAGGTAACAAGCGTTGGCAAGATGGGGAAATGAAAACTCTTTTGCACTGAAAAACAAAACAAAACTAAAACATGATTCAGAGCCTGGATATCTATTCAAATGAACAGAAATCAGTTGGCCAAAGCAATGTCTGATCTTGGGATCTTCGGTGCTCCATGCAGGAATATTCCCCGTAGTGTTTTGAATGAGTCATGCTCCCACAGGCCCGGGTATTCACATACTTGGTTCCCAGTTGGTGGCACTATTGGAGGGTTGTCAGGGAACCCTTAGGAGATAGAGTCCTGCTGGAGGAAGCACTTCACTGGGCTGGGCTTTGAGAGTTTATAGTTTCCGGTCACTTCCTGGTTAAGGAATAGTTCCTGCTCACACAGGAACCGTGAGAAGGGTGCCCTCAGGGTGAGACCCAGCCCAGGCTGTGAAAAGAGAAAGCCCAAGGGGTTGCTTGTTAGAAAACAATTGTTTCTCCAAACAAAAGCTGCTGCTAATGTGGTCCAAGGGCCAGGGTCCATCCTGAGCTGGCAGCTAACGTTGGCAGTACCATCAACCTGTCACCGGCTTTGGAAAAATTAGAGTGAGGAAGTCATGAATTTTCCTCCATGGAGTGGAAGCAGTCTACGGAGAGGTGTGGGCAGCAGACGGCAA